CCCGGTTGCCGGTTACCGTGTATGTAGACACTGAGGCTACCGTACGTGCCCGGTTACCGTGTACGTAAACCCTGAGGCTACGTGCCCGGTTACTGTGTACGTAGACCCTGAGGCTACGTGCCCGGTTACCGTGTACGTAGACATTCCGTTTTTTAGAATATATCTGGTACAGGTGTGTGTTTGGTGGTTGTAGAAATAACATAATTTATTAGTATTGTTACTTGAATTACATAACAAATGCGTACAAACAATGAAGTGGACCAACGTTCACAGTAGGTGTTTACAAGAGAAAAGAGAAACATAGAAAACAGACAGCCTCATTTGTCATGGGGGAAATTCGGCCTGCAGCTCACGGTCACTGAGCTCCCTTCCCTGTCAAGAAGGTGAAGAATGTGCGGTGAATTGTGAGGTCGGGGGGTCGATAAATGTTCTGTAATAAAGTTCATTCCATGTTACCCTGCCCCCGTTCCTACACTTAATTTTCCTCTTTTGCATTGTGAAAAAGCTTTTAAATTTTTGTTATCGACACCTCGCCTGCAAATTCCAAGAGATACCGTTTCCATAATAATTACCTCCCAGGAAGTTGAGATTGTTTCAGAATGCTGTCACTAGTGTCCGGTCTGTTGGAGTAATAACGTCATTATAATAATGGTAACGGTCAGACAGAGTGCTGCTGAGCGAGTATTTGCGTGATGCAAATGATATTTAATATTCCATGTATCAGTTATATTATGATGAAGCGAATTGTTCAGGTTTGTAATAAGCGATAGACCAGCGACTAGAACGTACTGTTGATGTGAAAGGCTCCAGCCACAGATGTACTCACCCGGCAACACGGATGGAGAACCATTTCTGCTCGAAGACCGGTGCGTACGTGATAGATCCAGTGTACAGCTTGGGGTCAACGCCACCCAGAACGAGCTCACCGCCCACCTTGGCCTTGGGGTCTCTGCAGACAAACAGATCGTTCTGAAGTTATTATTTATACGAAATAAAAATTATTAAGGCTTTTTATGGAACTTGCAACGCAATAATGTCGTATAAGTGCCGAAGATTAGAGGTTTTAAAAGAGAGGGACAAACACAAAACAGAAAGAGGGAAGATAAGGGCGATAGATGTTTGATAAGAAAGAAGGAGCAAACCACACCAGACTATCCGCCAACCATCCACTGAAGTTGTGTTTTTAAACATTATTTTGTGTAAGTGTTTTACGGCGCTCGCAACTGCATAAGGTCATTTGAACTTTTTCAATTGGTAAGAAATTTTGAATTTTGCCCGGGTGGCGGCCGAAGCCTACTCTTATTGATTTTAGATCACCACGGGATCTTTAACGTGAGGAACTTGCTCTGCACACGGCCTTCTCAGATTTTACGCCCTTGTTCGAGAAGGCTAGATGTAGATCTTTCCTACCAGAAGATCATGGGTGTGGCTGCAAGACAGCAGTAAGAAGGAGCCAAGGAGTTGCAGTAGAAAGACTACAGAAAGAGCCAGGAGCCCAGAGGAGGGGGGCAAAGGAGGTGAGGGGGTGGGGGGCAGAAAGAGGAGACGAAAGCAGACGATAGAACATTGCTAGAGAGCAGGAAAGGAGGTGAAAGAAAAAAATTTTAGAGAAGAAATTATTTCTGTCGTTACCCGGAATCGAACCGGGACCTTTGAATTAGAGGCCAACACCTTAACCTCTTGGCCACGAGAGCCCCCACTGAAGTTGTTAGAATTAGGTAGGTCATGATAGAATGGGTGAGTAAAGACCAATAGAATACTACATACAAACTATTAGAACATGGCCAATATATAAGGGCAGGTCTGGATTAATTTTCAAATTAGGACTAAGTATTTCATATCATATGTACCACAAACATTGACGTTCAGTTAGTGGACATTTAACCTCTTCACTGCTGTATAGACGTGTATCATTCATTTGAGTTCTCCCAAACTGATTCACTGCCATTAGATTTCTTGTATTATTTAGGATTTTTTAGATATACCGTATTTGCCACGTGCACATTATTTGTCTCTTTTTATTAAGGGGAAATTTATCATGGCTTTGCTTAAATCTCTCTTAAATGGACTCTTATTTTTCTGGACTGTACAAATGGCCAACAGAAGCGCCTCAGCGCTGGGCGAGTTATCACGGAACACACTTGTATTGATAGTATCGCTAAAACTTCGGAGTTTTGGTGTATCGAAGGCGTCATAGAGCACATTCCTGCGAAATGCATGAAACTGAAATCCATACATAGGTGATCAATTTTAGAAGGTACCCACACCAAAACCTAGAATCTACTGAGACCCGGTCTGGTCAAAGTTTCCTGACGACGTGGTTGACCAGGGTTTCGGATCTCTTTAAAAGTATACAATCCAAGTTTGTTTCTTTTTATTCATAATGAGTCTACTGCCTTTTAGTTGCGTGATCCAAAGCCAGTGTATTATCTTTAATTACATACAAAGATTATACTGCAGTCACAAATTCGTGACGCAGCTTATCTTTGAATATCTCTTTAATTATAGGGAGAAAAAATGTCATCCACACTTTGCACAGCAGTTTGTATTACTTCATCTTAACTTAATCATATTTTTGAACAAAAAATGAGGCTAGATTTTTTAAAAACTTTTCTCCATGAAATTAAATAAAATACTTTAAATCTCCATCACGAGGAAAATGGGATTGTTCACAGCACTTTCCATTTCTCATACACATTTTGCATACGCATATGGTCTACGTCACAGCTCACAACGACTTTATTTTGGTGGCAAAACTTGTTACAAGAAATTATTTTTATAGTGAGAACACATTTTTTTTTTGCACAGAAGGTTCTCCAAACATACGTTAAATCAGCATTGTGTCACGATTAGAAAAAAATCACGGACTTACTTTGAAAAGCGATATTGCTCCAGCTTTAAACCTTTTAAAATCTTTAGAAACCTCCCGCTTGGATTTTTTAATTAGTATTTATTCAAGGAATTTTCTAGAATACAGCTAACAAGTATCAAACAAAAATACTCATGTTAAGACAAATTGATGCAAGGCATTGTGCAAAAGCTGGAGAGTTTATGTTCGTTAGTTTAGATTTTGACAATTGGTTGCGACACGAATATTTGACCAAGTGCTCATACGGACATCACCATCTTGAGACTCTGAGACCATTCACTGTCTCCCATAGCCTTGTTTTGCCTTTAACAACGACTAGACAAAGCTCTTATTTCTCTCTTTTAGACCTTATATGGGCAACAGATTCAACCATTGTGGAACTAACTTTAAAGATAAACCAAAACCAACAACTATGTGCAGACCACAGCATGGCTTTTGTCATAATTATAGGACGCTAACAACAAATTAATTCTCTCTCTCTCTCTCTTTCTTTCTCTCTCTCTCTCTCTCTCTCTCTCTCTCTCTCTCTCTCTTTGTGTGTGTGTGTGTGTGTATGTGTGTGTGTGTGTGTGTGTGTGTGTGTGTGTGTGTGTATGTCTTTGTCTCTGTCTCTTTCTCTGTCTGTCTGCCCCCCTCCTCTCTCTCTCTCTCTCTCTCTCTCTCTCTCTCTCTCTCTCTTTCTTTCTTTCTCCCTCTATCTATCTATCTATCTATCTATCTATCTATCTATCTATCTATCTATCTATCTATGCCTCTTCCACTGTATTGACCAGAGCCGTAGAGTTTAAGTATACATGCATTAAAGTGATTGCTATTACCTGCCGAGATAAAAGGAGAAAATAGCCGCATCGACCGCTTTCTGCTGAACAGCTTGAAGGAAGAAGGGTTGCACGTTGTCTACAGCAATAGCCTGAAACATTTTGACAGAGTCGCAATTGCATGGTATCATCATAATAATAATAATAATAATAATAATAATAATAATAATAATAATAATGATAATAATAATAATAATTATTATTATTATTATTATACTATCTATCTATCTTCTCTCTCGGTCCCTCTCTCATTTTTCTCTTATGCTCTGTCTCGATTTCTCTTTCTCTCTATATTTTTCTCTTTCTCCCTCCCTCTCTCCACCCCCTCTCTCTCCCTCTTTCTCTCTTTCTCCCTCACCCCCCCTCTCTCTCTCTCTCTCTCTCTCTCTCTCTCTCTCTCTCTCTCTCTCTCTCTCTCTCTCTCTCTCTTTCTCTCTTTCTCTCTCTTTCCTCCATCTCCTAGGTCTGCCACCCTCGTCTCTGCTATCATATTATGAACTGACTCACCTGGTAAGCCAGACCCAGAATTCCGTCAAACTTGGCCACAACGAAGGAGGTACCAGGTTCACTCACAGCCTCACCAAACGTCCCCTTGGTTACAGTCACTCCAGCAACCTGTTGCAGAGCACAAGTTTATTTTGTTTTTGTTTGTTTGTTTGAGGAAAACACACGTATAGGCCTACATTGTAGACATATCAATACATGCATATGATATTATTGTGTCATATACATATCATTATAATAGACATACTATTATAATTGCTGTCACACATCTTGCAGACTTGTCAATGCATTAGGGTATAAAGTACTATTCCAAATATTTGAAGGCTCTGCAACGTAGAAGTTTTATTTGTTTGTGTAACATAGCTTATTTTTTTTATTGTTTAGTGACAAGGGTTATTAAGCACAGGTTTGTATGTGTGTGTGTGTTTCCGTGAGTGTGTGTGTGTGTGTGTGTGTGTGTGTGTGTGTGTGTGTGTGTGTGTGTGTGTGCGTTTCCGTGAGTGTGTCTTTTTGTGTTTGTTTGTTTGCTTGTCTGTGTGTGTATGTGTGTGTATGTGTGTGTGTGTGTGTGTGTGTGTATATGTGTGTGTGTGTGTGTGTGTGTGTGTGTGTGTGTGTGAGTGTGTGTGTGTATGTATGCGTGCGTGTAGTTGTGTGGATGTGTGTGTATGTATTAGTGGCTTCGTGTAGCACACATTTGAAAACTGACATTAAAATTGGGAGTTCATATTTTATTTTTAAGGGTATGTTTTTGCACACTTGATCAGGCAAAATGTGAAAATGTCTCTCTCTCAGTCTGTGTGTCTGTCTGTGTGTCTGTCTGTCTGTCTGTCTGTCTGTCTGTCTGTCTGTCTGTCTGTCTGTCTGTCTGTCTGTCTGTCTGTCTGTCTGTCTGTCTGTCTGTCTCCCACTTTCTCTCTCTCTCTCTCTCTCTCTCTCTCTCTCTCTCTCTCTCTCTCTCTCTCTCTCTCTCTCTCTCTTTCTCTTTGTGTGTGTTTGTTTGCGTGTGTGTTTCTAAGTTTAAAAAGAAAACAAGGAGACAATCACAAAAATACTCAAGCTAATGATACAAACATGTCATAAACCGTAATGTTAACAAATTTCTTTTTATCGCGAATAAAACAGAGAGAACTAATCCCACTCTCCCGCTCTCCGATTCAAGAACAAACAATTGTTATTATTTTAGGCCATCTTCGACACAATCAAAATAAATTAGGAAGCGGGCCTGTTCCGACCCTGCCTGCCGGGAATGGGTGATGCGTCAACGCAAAAAGTCGAGATGCTCAACAAACTTGCGAAGACAGTTTAAATGCATTTCATAATTCCCACAAAACACCCTGCATAAATAGTATGAATAAATGAATATATGCGGATCCTGTCTATCGTAATCCTCAAACAAGTTATCCTGCTCTAACTTTAATAACTTGAACTTTAAACTTTGAAACAACCTACACTCAATCAGTGCCCCTTGCCCATCCTGCAAACGGCCCGTATATTCATACAACTTGAGAACTTAAGTTGACGGAATACAGAGTATTATCAGTGTATAACAATTTGAAGTTATGGTTTGCTCCAGACCTAAAAAGACTTTATCGATTAGCTCCATTGCTGAAGGAGTGTTAACTTTTTGAAACAAGATAGCGCTTATCAGCCAGACGCGACTATTGACGTAGGTGTTTTTTACTCCCTCATCAACACATCGGTCATCTGAAGAGACTGTCACCAAATCAACCAACCGCACGAGCTTACAACTCAAAAGAGTCAACTAACAAGAGCAGGGGCAGATCACGCAAAATTTGGCTGGATGGCGTTAAAGAGGTGCTCCGAAAGAGTAACATATTATTATCAACAACGGAAGCCACCCAACGAGTCATTGACCAAATAAAAACCAAAAAAACAACTACAACTACAACAACAAAAAGACAACTAAAAACAACAACAACAACAAAAACAACCCAAAAAACCGGCACCCCCCCCTCGATATCTAACAATACAAGAGAAAGGATAAAGTAAAGTAAAGTAAAGCAAAGTAAAGTATCGGCACAACTACGCTACGATATTATTCTTCGAACTTCAAACCTGCCTGTCAGGGACAACTCGGACTGAGAAGGATATACCGTTCCAATAGAGACACTGAGATATTCTTGATGTTCACAATCTGTTGATAATTAGTGTTAAATCACACATATATGTAGTTGAATTCAAGTCTCAGATGACAACACAAAGGTGTGGTGTAAACGATTCGGCAGTAGCCCCCTCCTTCCCCACCTCCAGCCTATCACCTCCTCCTACTCCTCATCGTCGTCTTCGTAGTGGTAGTAGTAGTAGTAGTAGTAGTAGTAGTAGTAGTAGTAGTAGTAGTAGTAGTAATGGTAGTCGGTGATCACTCACGTTGACAGTATCAGTGCTGAGGAAGCCACTAAGCTCTCCCTTGGCGTATTGAATTTTGAAGGAAGTACCATTCTTCACGTACGTACTTGATTTGCTGCTATCGTAACGTTCGTGCAAAACTGTAGGAGAAAAGAAATTAAGAAGGTCAAGAGAATATAACAGTATACGTCCATTGATAGAAAAAAACCCGGGGTACTGGCCCTTAACTACCAGCAGTACCTGTAGAATATCCCTATGGAGTCAAAAATGTGAAAAACCAATTTAATGATTCGCAGACTGGATTTTGTTTATAAAAGCATAATACCAAGTTCAGAACATGTTAAGTACATCATCAAAAGGTGTAAAGAAGGCTAAGATGAGGAAGAATTATCGAGACCTAGATCTAGCCTATTTCTTTCAATTGACCTCTTCAATTGTGATTGTGGAAGCTTATCGCCCCCATCAACACAATTAGGATAATTCAGGAGACAGGTTTCGACCCTGCCTATCAGAGCACACCCAGGCTGAGAGATAACATAGAGAACCCTAATAGACGGACATAGATACCCCCTACCAGACACCATCGAACACGGTAATTGAATGCCAGTCTTCAGTGTGCGACGGCGAAGTACCTAACCGCTACACCATAAACTTAGGTGTGTTGGGGAAGAGGAGAGAAAAGGAGGGGAAATTGGAAGGGAAGGGGGGGGGGAGTGGGTACTGGCATTGACTAAAAACCCATGTATTCAGAGCTACTGTCATAACCATCTCAAGTTATATCTGAATGTAAAAGAGTGTCTCTAGCCAGCTTCGGGGAGGGCGGGGATGGAGGGGGGAAACTAAGTCCCCTTTATAAATTCTTGATCATGCATTCTAAGAATTGGTCTTGCTTCGCTTTTGCAGCATTCATAACTATTTCTTTTAACACACGAACACCGACTAGTGATACGTATAGACACAGAATGGTGGTACATATAGACACCAACTAATTGTACATATAGACACCGAGTAATTGTACATATATACACCCACTGGTGGTATACATAGTCACCACGTAGCTGTATATAGATATTGACACCAACTAGAGGTACACATAGGCAGCGAATAGTTGTACATACACAACGACTAGTTGTACAAATAGACACTAACTGATAGTATATACAGACACACACTAGTTGTCCACATTGACACCAACTATACAGTTGTACACATGGACATTGACTGGGGGCACACATAGACAACAACTAGTTGTGTACATAGACAACGACTGTTGCTACATAGAGTAGACTCACAGCAGGCCACACTGTGGCACTGTTTGGAGGGAACCCACAGGTTGGAAGAGCCTGTATCAAAGACGACTTTGAAACTCTGGGGTGGTGTTCCAACATCGATGACTCCGTAGTACTGGGACTGTGGACATAACCAACGATATTTACCTTAACTTTTTTCCATCATTGTTATAATTTTAAAAAGTTTTTCGTGCCGGTAGGTGATAGTTGCCTTGGAGCAAACCAATAGATATAATAAAACTTTCTGTTCAAATATATTGGCCACTAAATTGCTTTCTCTCCAGAGAGACACATTATTACTGATATCTTTCTCATTTTTCACCGCCACGATCATTTACGAGTAATCGCACGACAATATCAATATCTTCGATTGTTCGATGAGATTTAAAAACAAATAATATATCATCTTGAGGTCACTAAATAAAATAGTTAAAAAATAGAAATATTTTTAAAAATCCTGTTCGTCCTTATGTTCTAAATACGTTTTCAGAAAATAGAAGTGAATTCTGTAGCGTCCGCAACAAGGCAGGTCCAAGCAAAAGTATTCATTATTGTTGTAAAATAGTATAAAACGGTTCTTGAAAAAAAAGAAAAGAGGTATGAAAAATATGTAACATAAATAAAGCCC